TGTAGGATCTTCACCGCACAGGATGGAGTGAATTTGGCGACGAAAGGAAACTCAAGCAAGTGCTACTTGCATATGCACGGTAATTAATTTGGATAGAGCTATTAGATATAAATTCCAGCTTACGAGAGGCAATCTAATTTAAGTTTTCCCCTTTGACCTGTAGTTTTGGTGTATATATTACTCCACAAATTTTGAAAGGACGTACTTAATCTGCAGCCATTACTAAAAAGCAGGGAAATTCATTGGCACTAACTTATATCGCAACTGCCTATCAGTTTATCGCAAAATTCCTCAACGAATACTTCTTAGATTGATTCGGAAGTGACCAGAATGCTAAAATCCTACTGCCACACAATGTTCGGGAATTTTCTACATACTTGTTTTCTGCAGTGTTTAATAGATGAACAATACGTAGATAGTTTCATTCCCTCTAATAAACCTTGATCATTGTCAACCATTTGAATTTTTTTCTTCTAGTAGTTGAGCTGAGATAGAAAGTTATTTTGCCAAAAGAGCTCCTCATCACGACGTAAATGCTTTTTACAATTTTCCATGATTTCTCGCGTATTTTCTATGGCAACAAGTCACTCAATATGTAATGCAATTGCAGACGATTATCTCCGTTTTACATCAGCTTCTCAATGATGATACGCAGTTGTCACACCTCGTTGAGAAAATCTCAGCCAATACTTGAGAGAACCTTGGGGAAGATGATTTTCCATTAGAGCAAGATGGGGGAATATCGAGAGACCGAAATGTCTTGAAATGATTTCCAGTGATGATCCAAATCTAACGAGGCTAATCCAATGCACCGAGTTCATGAAGGTGGCGTGCGTTGGATACCCGGTGCTCTCTCGGGCGAGAGCGTGCAGACAGTTGGATCCGCGATGACTGATGAAATCTACCGCGATCGAGCCTGACGTCGAGCGCATCTCAGGCCCCGCCCGCTTCCTGCTCTCACGGCGGCTACGTCATATTGCGGCCGCTATCTCAGCTCCCGAGGAACGTAATTTAGCGCCTCGTCGTCAAAAAAAAAAACTTAATCACACTCGCGAATTAAGCTCCAAACATGGGATATAGATTAGAAATGGATGTGTCAAAGTTTGTAGCACCATTATTAGAAGATCAATAGTATTTTTTACAATAACTTCCAAAATTTTAAACAGAAAGTTTATTTGAATAAGAATGAACCAGATTGGAGCAAAACTGAAAGGAATGAAGGGAAATCTATACCATTTTTTAACAGTAATTCCAACATTTCAAACACAAACACCAGCTCTAAATTAGATAGGAATAATCCGAATTGAAGCAAAATAGGAATAGTTCAAAACTATAGGAAGTAGATTCACAATTATTGTTCATTCCGCAATCAGAGGGCAAACTGGCTCAGTTTTGATTACAATCCAAATGACGACGAGACGCCAAATTACAGCTCCTCGACGGTGCTGAGATAGCGGCCGCAATATGACGTGGCCGTCGTAAGAGCAGGAAGCGGGCGGGGTGATATGCGCTCGACCAAGCTCGATCGCTGTGGATTTCATCGCGGATCCAACTGTCTGCACGCTCTCGCCCGAGAGAGCACCGGGTATCTAATGATACGCAACCAGTTCATGATGCCGATCCCTCCACAATACTACAAGGAAACAAAGTCCACGGAGGGTCACGATCATGCGATCTTCTGTGCTGCGATAAATGGAGCCCTGAGAGGAGCATACGAGAGAAATAGTGTGTTTTATGAGAATCCGTAAAGAAAACTCGTAAGTTGCTCGAAAACAACTTACGCGTTCCCCTGACGAGGTGTACTTTTGCGTCATGTGCAGGCCTCGGCACGAGGTCTCCGATTGAACCTTAAGAGAACGAATACCCGTTTGAAAATCCAAGAAAGAA